ATTACTCACCGTTAAGAGAGCAAATCTGCCAACATAAAACCATGAACTTGTTACTTTCCTCCATTTGAGCAGTTTTTATTTGTCTTGTTTTTCTGATTCTTTTTTCTATAGAAGGGTTCCATAATTTTCCTTGTAATTTCTTTGAACTCAGGTATGAATAAGATGGTTATAAATCATTTGGACAAGCTGTTTGTCACAAATGATGCTGCTAGTATTGTAAATGCGCTTGAGGTTCAACGCCCTGCTGCCAAGATATTGGTTCTGGCAGGGAAGGCTCAACAGGAAGAAATTGGTGATGGTGATAATTTGACTGTTTCGTTTTCTGGAGAGCTCCTCCAAAATGCAGAGGAGCCTAATTAGGACTGGCCTGCACCCAAGTGAGATCATCAGTGGATATACCAAAGCTATAAACAAGGTTTCCTCAATGCATTGCCGAGTGGATGGAATGGAAATATAATTCTCAACCTTTTTGGATATATTAAACCGTTCTAATACCTATTTCTAATATATGCAGACCGTTGAGATTTTAGGTGAGCTAGTAGAGAAAGGTTCAGAAAGTATGGATGTCAGGGTTAAGGAGCAAGTTATCACCAAAATGAAAGCTGCTGTTGCTAGCAAGCAATTTGGACAAGAAGATGTTTTATGTTCCCTTATAGCTGATGTAATATTAATTGACCATCCTATTCGTTTTTTTCCATTGAGTAGTGATTTTATTAGCTCTTTGTCTAATTGTGGCAACTATTTTCTTCCCCACTTTTGTACCGAAGGCATGTATCCAAGTTTGCCCCAAGAACCCAGCAAATTTTGATGTTGATAATGTGCATGTTGTAAAGCTCTTGGGAGGAGGTCTGCATAACAGCACAATAGTTTGGGGTATGGTTTTGAAAAATGATGCAGTGGGAAGTATAAAGCGAATTGAGAAGGCAAAGGTCTGGGGTTTATTTTTCTATTTATTTCATGTTTGTCGATTCGTTATTGAAAGGTTGGATTTCTTGTTAGTCCTCAAATCTCTAACATGTATGTGTGCATTGCCCTTTTTCAGGTAGCTGTGTTTGTTAGTGGGGTTGATACCTCAGCTACTGAAACAAAAGGAACTGTCTTAATCCACAGTGCTGAACAGGTAAGGCTTAAGCAGTTCCTCAGATTTTTGCAAAAGCATATCTCTTCCCTTGTACACTTTACCGAATTCATTATGAAATATTCCCTTGTAAAATTGTTCAGTGGATGGAGTGCTTTTTTAAGTGGATGCCATCGTCCTTTCATTCCTATGGTTGTATACCAGTCTTTATGCATGGTTTCCCAATCCTCAATACCAGATAATGTCATGCCTTAACTGTTTCTCTCACTTTATTTCCAAATGCTTTTCCATGTCTTTTTCTGAAAGTATTCGTAAGGCTTCTTTACTAATTTGATGCTAAAACTTGAGAGGTTAACATGGTGTCATATTGAACTGTTTAATAATTTTTTTTCTTCTTTTTCTTCTAACCAGTTTTTAGTATTTCATCTCTATAAACCATGTCAGGCTCTGTTTTTGTTGGCCTTTGGAATGGTTAATTGTGTTCTTGTTAGATGCGAATTTCATTGGCAGCTGTATAATTGCTTTCTCTATACCACTATTTTTCCTTTGGGTGGTCTGTCAATGTGCAGAGATAGTCGTATGGTACCTGGAGCTGCAGCTACTGAAATTGAGTTGGCTAGAACATTGAAAGAGTTTTCTTATAAAGAAACAGGGTAATACTTGCATAGGATTATTTTACATGTTTTCCTTGATGGTACCAAATCTGCATGGCCACCATGTCTTCTGGACAGAGTCAGACCATTTTCTTCTACACATTTTGAAGCAGTTATTGCATTATATTTCGCGTATTCTGGAATGTTAGTTATTGGTGTTAACTGTATGGAGATAGCTTTCCCCTTGGGGACTATTGGAATTAGGAAGGTTGGTTTTTAACCTATCTTTTACAAACTTTTCGCAGATTGGATCAGTATGCTGTGGCTAAATTTACTGAAAGTTTTGAAATGATACCAAGAAACCTGGCAGAGAATGCTGGGCTTAATACTATGGATATCATATCAAAGCTGTATGAGAAACATGCATGTTGAAATGCCAAAGTAGGTGTTGACTTGGGGGCTGGTGACAGGTGAAGATGTTTGTAAGGATGTGTCAGTCATGAATGTTTGGGTTCTCTATGTCACTAAGTAAGCTTCTTTTGACGCCAAATATTTTCCTTCAATCTCAGGAATTCTAATTATTCCTCTCTTGGAGATAAACTGATATTTTCTCTCAAGTGTGGATATGATGCTTCTAACACTTTGGGATCATGCTTTTTATTTGCTGTAAACAAGGCTGTCATAGATGTCAAAGATAGTTATTGCATCTGTATTAAGTTTATGGTAAATTGTAAGATCTGGTTATTGTTTTGAGAAATTTGAACTTTGCCAATTCATGAACTGTTTTTAACTTTTTCCATTTTTAAAATATTCTTCTGTCCTTTTTGGACCGTGGGATGTGGCGGTGGGTTTCTATGTTGAGCAATATGAGATACCATTGGTGACCCTCACAGAGTCACAGTTGCCTTTAATTGCTTGCACTGATTTTCCGATGGTGGTTGATAGGGGATTAGTTAACTGTTTGCATTTTGCACTGACTGGATATTGAAATTTTAGAAGTGCAATAAGGCTAGAAATGGATTGGCC